TAATATATATATATAAATTATATATATATATATATAAATATATATATATATATTATATAATATATATATATTATATATATATATATATATATTATATATATAAGATACCTATATGCATATATATGCATATTATGTATGTACATTCTATATATAAGAATGTATATTGTATACATAATACGCTCATATATGTATATATGTATGTGTATGTGTATATATGTATGTATATATATATATATATATATATATATATATATATATATAGAGAGAGAGAGAGAGAATATATAGATACGTATATATATATAACATATAATAGACAGATAGACAGATAGATGCACAGATACATACTTTGACAGGCAGAAATAAATAGATATGTAGAATCAGAGGCATTGAGACATATCTCACTTTCTGAATGTCCACTGATATCAAGATCACTAATCCATCGCATTTCCTCCTAGCGCCATTACTAGTTTTATAATCGAATCCAAATGTTTGTCATTGTCACTTCCAATACAACATTAATCTTGCCGAATGGAATCGCTGAAACGTATTTTTTTTTTTCTTTTTCTTTTTACAATATGGTAGGTATGTTTATGAGTGTAAAAACTCTGATACGAATTGGAGAAAACGGGAAGTAATTCAAGGCAACAAGAGTCCTGGGAAACGTCAGTCTGCTCGCGTTCCTGATCCCATTACGCCTGCATGGCCGTATAAGAACCGCCTCCACGCTGCTCGGCACCAGCTTCTCTCCGACAATCTTCGGGACTTCACACTCTTCCGAGTCTACCAACAACCATTTTAATGGTCAACGCTGTTAAGGTCTTCAAAAAGACTTCACCTAATGGTAATACTAATGTCATTTGTCTTTTTAGTGTTAAATGGCATGCAGCTTTGTGACTGTCTATAAAATGTAACAAAGTAATATTATAATTTTCTTCTAGGTAAGGTCACTGCGTATCTAAGTCGGCGGGACTTCGTGGACCACGTCAGCCACACCTCCCCCGTGGACGGTGTGGTTGTCGTGGACCATGACTACCTGCGTGGAAGGAGGGTCTTCGCGCGCGTGGCGGTCACCTACCGCTACGGCCGCGAGGAGGATGAGGTCATGGGACTTCACTTCAGCAAGGAGCTCGAGCTCGTCAACACCGAGGTCGCTCCCCATGCTGGAGACGTCCAAATGACCGACGCCCAAGAACGACTCATCAAGAAGCTGGGTGCCAACGCCTACCCCATCAGCGTCAACCTTCCGGAGAACGCCCCCTGTTCCGTCTCCCTCGACGGCGGGAGTGAGGGTTCTGTACGTACCTATCTTTTTTGCATGTTTTTTTCTTATTAGCAAAAAAGAAAGATATTCAACTACTCAAACTATGGCGAAAAAAAATTGTTTGGAATTATATGATTATCTTTCCGAAACAGACCCAGCCTCTTGGTGTGATCTACGATCTCAGGCTGTACGTTGCTGACCGCAAGGAGGAACGTCCTCACAAGCGGAACTCCGTCGGCTTTGCTGTCCGAAAGGTCCAGTACGCCTGTCCTGGATCCAGCAACCGTCAGCCACAGACCCTGGTCAGCAAGGGCTTCACTCTTTCCCCAGGAAGGCTCAACCTCGAGGTCACTCTGCCTCAGGATGTCTACTTCCATGGACAGCCCATCGAGGCAACGCTTTCCGTCAACAACGTGTCCAAGAAGACCGTGAAGAACATGAAGGCTGAGGTTGTGCAGCACGTGGAGGTCACCATGACCAACACTCACTTCAGCCGAGTTGTGGCTTCACTCGAGTCTCGCGAAGGATGTCCCATCACCCCAGGATGCAACCTCACCAAGACCTTCTCCCTCAACCCTGTGCCTCCGTCAACAAGCGACGCTTCGGCATCGCCCTCGACGGTCAAGTCAAGGACCAGGACGCCAACTTGGCATCGTCTACCTTGGTGGCAGAAGGTAAGAACGTCAACGACGCCTTGGGCATCATCGTGTCTTATCTGTCCGCGTCAAGCTCAACTGCGGCGCCATTGCCGGCGACCTGACTGCCGACCTTCCCTTCAAGCTGGTGCACCCCGACCCTGCCTCCGTCAAGGCTCCACTGCGCAAGACTCAGTCTGCCGATATCGAAGTGGAGGAATTCACTAAACTTGCGCCGGTCAGTCCATTGCTGAGGACTAAGTCAAGCAGGAACTACAGGATGCTCGGGGATCAGCCAATCATTATTATCTAATTGGACTTTCAAGCACCAGTTTAATCGGAAGGGAAATTGCAGTTATAAAATCGCACGGTAATAGGCCTTTACATCGTACAATATTATCATTGACACTTCATATTGTCTTCTATTTAGCATACGAGCATCATTTATTGAACATTTATATTTTCAAGGACACTTTTCTGTGATAATCTATTTTCTATTGAAACTGCAATAAAATTTGAAATAAACGTGTGATGTCTCTCGCACCTTGTGTATTACAGAAGTAAACATGAAAATTAAAAATACGTATAGATGCAGACATATACATGCACATGTATATATGTGATATATGTGTGTGTGTGTGCATGCATATTTTTAGATATATGTATGCACACATGAACACACACACACACACACACACACACACACACACACACACACACACACACACACATATATATATATATATATATATATATAATATATATATATATATATATATATATATATATATATATATATATATATATATATATATATATATATATATATATATATGTATATATATACATTTATATATATATATATATATATATATATATATTATATATATATATATATATATATATATATATATAATATATATATATATATATATATATATACATATGTATATATATATATGTATATATATAATATTATATATATATATATATATATATATATATATATATATATATATATATATATATATATTATATATATATATATATATATATATATATATATATATATAATATAATATATATATATATATATATATATATATATATATATATATATATATATATATATATATTATATATGTGTGTGTGTGTGTGTGTGTGTGTGTGTGTGTGTGTGTGTGTGTGTGTGTGTGTGTGTGTGTGTGTGTGTGTGACATGCACTCACTATTGTATAACTATGTAAAATTATGACAGACTAACAAATTTACGTTTGTATTTACTATTTTGCACAAAATATGCCAGAATGAATGGCAATACACCAATATAACATAACGATATAAAACTCTTCTCAATTCGATAGTTTCGCTCAAGAACATACTTTATACAAAAACTTTCAGTAAACCTTTGTATACAATATTTCTCTCCTTAGAAAGACATAAATGTTGACTATTTGACTGTTGCTACTTTTTCGTTTTCTTACATTCTTGAAATGATACATACAACATCTTAAATATCGCAGTGACATATTGTCTGAAGCAAGTTAGTGACTGAATAATCCTTTTTATCATTTTCCAATCCTCTAAGTTTCTCATGTGAATGGTGTTTTAATTTCGAGTATTCACCCTTTATTTTCCCATGTAAATGCTTTCCGAATGATCTATTTATTAATTGTCAACATGATCTTTCTTCACAATAAAGTTTGGTTTAGAAATATATGCATATTTTATATAAGTTTCTTGTTTGATTATTAACTTCACACTTAACGTTTGGTTCTCTTCATTTACTTTTGATGGTAAATTCGCCTGTGTTGTAACTTTTGGTTCAGGGTTATTTTCAAGAACAGCGTAATTTTGAATTCATAACAGAACATGATATATACGCAAATTAGTGATTCTTTTCCAGTACACACTCTATGCGCACGCAGTGGAAGCGAGTATGTGTGCATACTATATATCCAAGATGTGATTAGATGTATATATATGTATGTGCGTTCGTACGTGCGTATGTGTGTGTATTTGTATATGTTGTGTGTGTATGTGTGTATATATAAACACATACACCTACATAAATGACTGTATATGTATATACATTGTTGTTTACCACTAGAATCATGTATACCACATATTCTACATATGTAATTTTAAAGAGCTGAATGTATGATTACATGGAATCAATTTTTGATTAATACCTTCACAGCAGGGGCGTCATTCATTTTTGGGGGGCATTGTTAATGAGAGAAGTGAATACAGTTTCTGGGTCGCTGTGTAACTCCCTCAACCCTCTGGAGGAAACTGTTCAAAAATGAGCTATTCTAATAGTTTTTTTAAGCTACTGCCAGAGGTATGAATCTGTAATTTAGACAAAAAATCGCGGGAATCCCTTAGGGAGAAAAGGCAAGCTAGACCTTAAGGGGGATAGAGTCTAAGGGGGCGGTTACCCCTCAGCCCTCCCCCCCCCTCCCCAAATGACGCCCCTGCTTCATGGACTCAACATTTCCCTTGCCTCCGTCTGGTTTAAATCTCCGCAGAATGTTATGAAATGTTTGGCTATCGTTAAAGAAGAAAACCAGGTTTCCACATAAGTCGGTATCAATGACCCAATATCAAAACTTGATATTAGCCGTAAAGTAATTCATAAAATTCCAAATAAAAAATGTATATACGGCAAACTTCATCTTTCGGGTTATTGTTAATTTTCTCATTCTGTGTGACAAGCTTGTACTAATTGTTATCAAAAGCATGTGATAAGGATACTACTTGAAGAACACCTATTTCGGCACGTGACATACCGAAAAAGATCGCGTTATCCATTTAGTTGTAATGTTGTCCGGGATATAATGCACCAATTTCTAAACATGTCGAAGGGCTAAGTGATCCCTATTAATACAGTTGCAAATCCCATGATTCAGGTTGCATACTTAGTAATTAAATATTTAATTTATTTAAAAAATGGCATGGTCAGAAATAGAAAACAAAAACACCCAACTCCCAGGAAGTGTCGCCGTCTGACTACACCTAATCCCATTACGCCTGCATGGCCGTATAAGAACCGGCCTCACACGCTGCTCGGCATCAGCTTCTCTCCGACAGTCTTCGAGACCACACACTCCTCCGAGTCTACCAACAACCATTTTAATGGTCAACGCTGTTAAGGTCTTCAAAAAGACTTCACCTAATGGTAATACTAATGCCACTCATGTCATTTTGTGTATTTAATGAAAAGCATCTTTGTTAATGTAGGTAACAAATATGACAATGGAACAATGATCCTGTTTCTTTTCCCCAGGTAAGGTCACCGCGTATCTAAGTCGGCGGGACTTCGTGGACCACGTCAGCCACACCTCCCCCGTGGACGGTGTGGTTGTCGTGGACCATGACTACCTGCGTGGAAGGAGGGTCTTCGCGCGCGTGGCGGTCACCTACCGCTACGGCCGCGAGGAGGATGAGGTCATGGGACTTCACTTCAGCAAGGAGCTCGAGCTCGTCAACACCGAGGTCGCTCCCCATGCTGGAGACGTCCAAATGACCGACGCCCAAGAACGACTCATCAAGAAGCTGGGTGCCAACGCCTACCCCATCAGCGTCAACCTTCCGGAGAACGCCCCCTGTTCCGTCTCCCTCGACGGCGGGAGTGAGGGTTCTGTACGTATTCTGTCCTTTACTCATGCTTTTTTTTTCTAATATTAGCAAAAATTCGAAAGATGATCAACTACTCAAACTTCTATGGCTAATGATTAGAAAAAAAAATTGTTGGAATTATATGATTACCAAATTTCCCATTAAACAGACCCAGCCTCTTGGTGTGATCTACGATCTCAGGCTGTACGTTGCTGACCGCAAGGAGGAACGTCCTCACAAGCGGAACTCCGTCGGCTTTGCTGTCCGAAAGGTCCAGTACGCCTGTCCTGGATCCAGCAACCGTCAGCCACAGACCCTGGTCAGCAAGGGCTTCACTCTTTCCCCAGGAAGGCTCAACCTCGAGGTCACTCTGCCTCAGGATGTCTACTTCCATGGACAGCCCATCGAGGCAACGCTTTCCGTCAACAACGTGTCCAAGAAGACCGTGAAGAACATGAAGGCTGAGGTTGTGCAGCACGTGGAGGTCACCATGACCAACACTCACTTCAGCCGAGTTGTGGCTTCACTCGAGTCTCGCGAAGGATGTCCCATCACCCCAGGATGCAACCTCACCAAGACCTTCTCCCTCAACCCTGTTGCCTCCGTCAACAAGCGACGCTTCGGCATCGCCCTCGACGGTCAAGTCAAGGACCAGGACGCCAACTTGGCATCGTCTACCTTGGTGGCAGAAGGTAAGAACGTCAACGACGCCTTGGGCATCATCGTGTCTTATCTGTCCGCGTCAAGCTCAACTGCGGCGCCATTGCCGGCGACCTGACTGCCGACCTTCCCTTCAAGCTGGTGCACCCCGACCCTGCCTCCGTCAAGGCTCCACTGCGCAAGACTCAGTCTGCCGATATCGAAGTGGAGGAATTCACTAACTTGCGCCGTGGTCAGTCCATTGCTGAGGACTAAGTCAAGCAGGAACTACAGGATGCTCGGGGATCAGCCAATCATTATTATCTAATTGGACTTTCAAGCACCAGTTTAATCGGAAGGGAAATTGCAGTTATAAAATCGCACGGTAATAGGCCTTTACATCGTACAATATTATCATTGACACTTCATATTGTCTTCTATTTAGCATACGAGCATCATTTATTGAACATTTATATTTTCAAGGCACTTTTCTGTGATAATCCTATTTTCTATTGAAACTGCAATAAAATTTGAAATAAACGTGTGATGTCTCTCGCACCTTGTATTTACAGAAGTAAACATGAAACGAAATATACATACACATGCAGACATACATGTACATGTATGATGTGTGCATGCATATTTATAGATATATGTATGCACACATAAACACACACACACACATATATGTATATGCGTTTATATATATATATATATATATATATATATATATATATATATATATATATATATATATATATATATATATATATATATATATATATATATATATATATATATATATATATATATATATATATATATATATATATATATATATATAGATATATATATATATATATATATATATATATATATATATATGTATATACACATGTATATATATATATATATATATATATATTATATATATATATATATATATATGTATGTATATATATATATATATATGTGTTGTGTGTGTGTGTGTGTGTGTGTGTGTGTGTGTGTGTGTGTGTGTGTGTGTGGTGCATACAAATATACATATGTATATATATATATATATATATATATATATATATATATATATATATATATATATATATATATATATATATATATATATATGACCACTCTCTATTGTAGAACTATAAAATTATGAGACTAACAAATTTACGTTTGCATTGCGTATTTTGCACAAAATATGCCAGAATGAATGGCAACACGTATAATAACGATATAAAACTCTTATCAATCCGATAGTTTCGCTCAAATTATACAAAAACTTTCAGTAAACCTTTGTATACAATATTTCCTCCTTAAAAACATAAATGTTGACTAGTAAGTACAATACGAAATTAGAGTTACTTTTTCGTTTTCTTACACTCTTGAAATGATGCATGCATCTTAAATATCGCAGTGACATATTGTGTCTTAAGCAAGTTAGTGACTAAATAATCCTTTTTATCATTTTCCAATCCTCTAAGTTTGTCATGTGAAAGTGTTTTAATTTCGAGTATTCACCTTTTTCACCCATGTAAATGCTTTCTGAATTATTTATCTATAATTTTCAACATGATCTTTTTTCGTGATAAGGTTTGTATAGAAATATTTCAACGCTTTTTACGTTTTTTATTATTAACTTCATACTTCACGTTTGTTCTCTTCATTTATTTTTATAGTAGGTTCGCCTGTGTTTTTATAACTTTTGGTTCAGGGTTATTGTCAAGAATGGCGCAATTTTGCATTCATAATTATATATACGCATATTAGAGATTATTTTCTAGTACATATACACTATGCTCACGTAATTGGAAGTGGGTATGTTCATATATGTTTGTATATCCAAAATATGATTCAATAATTTCTTCTAAATATATCGGATGGTTATATCTGTAGTAGCTAACTTATGTAAATGCTGAAAAAATAAATATATATAATCAGACGTGTGTGTATGTATATATATATATGTGTGTGTGTGTGTGTGTGTGTGCGTACGCGCGCGCATGTTGTGTGTGTTTGTGTGTGTATGTTGCGTGTGTTTGCTTGTGCGTGTATATATATATAAACACATACACACAGATCATAAATGAATGCAATAATTATAATTATATTATATTATAATTATTATATATAAATAATTTAAATCAAACGTTTTTGTCTTCCATGCATTTCCTTAAGTTAGTGAAACATAGTGATGTCTACCAATACATAATGTATACCACAGTTTTAAAGAGCTCATGTATGATTACATGGAATCAATTTTTTTCTGAATACCTTCACATCAGGGCGTCATTCAGCTCTTTCTTGGGGACAAGAATTATGAGAGAAGAGAACACACTTTCTGGGTAATTTAGAAAAAAAAATGACGGGAGTGAATCCCTTAGGAGGAAAGGCAAGCCAGACCTGAGGGGGATAGAGTCTTCGGGGGCGGTTACCCTCAGACCCCCCCCCCCTCCCAAAATGACGCCCCTGCTTCATGGACTCAACATTTCCCTTGCTCCGTCTGTTTAAAAAGTTTTAAATTTAAAAGTTGCTATGAAGTGTTTGGCTATCGTTAAAGAGAAAACCAGGTTTGCACATAACTCGTTATCAATAATTAATGTTAAAACTTCAAATTAGCCGTAAAGTAATTCATATATAATTCTAAATAAAAATATATATATATGGCAAAATTCATCCTTTGGGTTATGTTAATTTGCTCATTCTGTGTGACAACTTGTACTAATTCTTATTAAAAGCTTGTACTGAGAATACTTCATGAAGATGACACCTATTTCGGCACCGAAAAGACTTATCGCGGTATCCATTAAGTTGTAATGCAGTAATGATATAATATAAGGCCTAACTGATTATCTTTGACATCACCGGAAATCCTATGATCCAGGTTGCATATTTAAATGAAGCATTTCTTTTATTTAAAAAAAATGTAGAAAACAAAAACACCCAACTCCCAGGAAGTGTCGCCGTCTGACTACTACTAATCCCATTACGCCTGCATGGCCGTATAAGAACCGCCCTCAAACGCTGCTCGGCATCAGCTTCTCTCCGACAGTCTTCGGGACTTCACACTCCTCCGAGTCTACCAACAACCATTTTAATGGTCAACGCTGTTAAGGTCTTCAAAAAGACTTCACCTAATGGTAATACTACCACTCATATCTTTTTGTATTGCAATGGAAAGCAGCTTTGTAAATGTCTGTAACAAATGTGACAATGGAAAATGATCCTTTTCTTTTCTCCAGGTAAGGTCACCGTATCTAAGTCGGCGGGACTTCGTGGACCACGTCAGCCACACCTCCCCCGTGGACGGTGTGGTTGTCGTGGACCATGACTACCTGCGTGGAAGGAGGGTCTTCGCGCGCGTGGCGGTCACCTACCGCTACGGCGCGAGGAGGATGAGGTCATGGGACTTCACTTCAGCAAGGAGCTCGAGCTCGTCAACACCGAGGTCGCTCCCCATGCTGGAGACGTCCAAATGACCGACGCCCAAGAACGACTCATCAAGAAGCTGGGTGCCAACGCCTACCCCATCAGCGTCAACCTTCCGGAGAACGCCCCCTGTTCCGTCTCCCTCGACGGCGGGAGTGAGGGTTCTGTACGTATTCTGTCCTTTTTGCATGCTTTCAAAGATCCTTCTTATTAGCAAAAACTTCGAAAGATAATATCAACTACTCAAACTTCTCTATGGCTAATTATTACTTACAGAAAAAACAATTATTGGAATTATATGATTATTTCCCATTTCAAAGACCCACCTCTTGGTGTGATCTACGATCTCAGGCTGTACGTTGCTGACCGCAAGGAGGAACGTCCTCACAAGCGGAACTCCGTCGGCTTTGCTGTCCGAAAGGTCCAGTACGCCTGTCCTGGATCCAGCAACCGTCAGCCACAGACCCTGGTCAGCAAGGGCTTCACTCTTTCCCCAGGAAGGCTCAACCTCGAGGTCACTCTGCCTCAGGATGTCTACTTCCATGGACAGCCCATCGAGGCAACGCTTTCCGTCAACAACGTGTCCAAGAAGACCGTGAAGAACATGAAGGCTGAGGTTGTGCAGCACGTGGAGGTCACCATGACCAACACTCACTTCAGCCGAGTTGTGGCTTCACTCGAGTCTCGCGAAGGATGTCCCATCACCCCAGGATGCAACCTCACCAAGACCTTTCCCTCAACCCTGTTGCCTCCGTCAACAAGCGACGCTTCGGCATCGCCCGACGGTCAAGTCAAGGACCAGGACGCCAACTTGGCATCGTCTACCTTGGTGGCAGAAGGTAAGAACGTCAACGACGCCTTGGGCATCATCGTGTCTTACTCTGTCCGCGTCAAGCTCAACTGCGGCGCCATTGCCGGCGACCTGACTGCCGACCTTCCCTTCAAGCTGGTGCACCCCGACCCTGCCTCCGTCAAGGCTCCACTGCGCAAGACTCAGTCTGCCGATATCGAAGTGGAGGAATTCACTAACTTGCGCCGTGGTCAGTCCATTGCTGAGGACTAAGTCAAGCAGGAACTACAGGATGCTCGGGGATCAGCCAATCATTATTATCTAATTGGACTTTCAAGCACCAGTTTAATCGGAAGGGAAATTGCAGTTATAAAATCGCACGGTAATAGGCCTTTACATCGTACAATATTATCATTGACACTTCATATTGTCTTCTATTTAGCATACGAGCATCATTTATTGAACATTTATATTTTCATGGACACTTTTCTGTGATAATCCTATTTTCTATTGAAACTGCAATAAAATTTGAAATAAACGTGTGATGTCTCTCGCACCTTGTGTATTACAGAAGTAAACATGAAACGAAATATACATACACATGCAGACATACATGTACATGTATATATATGTGTGTGTGCATGCATATTTTTAGATATATGTATGCACACATAACACACACACATACATATATAATATATATATATATATATATATATATATATATATATATATATATATATTTATATATATATATATATATATATATATATATATATATATATATATATATATATATATATATATATATATATATATATATATATATATAATATATATATATATGTATTTATATATATATATATATATATATATATATATATATATATATATATATATATATATATGTATATGTCAAATATATATGAATATATACATATATAATATATATGTGTCACTATTGCAGAACTATATAAAATTATGACAGACTAACAAATTTACGTTTGTATTGAGTATTTTCACAAAATATGCCAGAATGAATGGCAACACGTCAATATAACATAGCTATATAAAACTCTTATCAATCCGATAGTTTCGCTCAAGAACATTATACAAAAACTTTCAGTAAACCTTGTATACAATATTTCTCGACTAGTAAGTAAACAATACGAAATTAGAGTTACTTTTTCGTTTTCTTACACTCTTGAAATGATGCATGCATCTTAAATATCGCAGTGACATATTGTCTTAAGCAAGTTAGTGACTAATAATCCTTTTTATCATTTTCCAATCCTCTAAGTTTGTCATGTGAAAGTGTTTTAATTTCGAGTATTCACTTTTTCACCCATGTACATGCTTTCTAAATTATTTATCTATTAATTTTCAATATGATCTTTTTCGTGATAAGGTTTGTAAGAAATATTTGCACGCTTTATACGATTTTTTTTTTTTTTTTTTTTTTTTTTTGTTTGATTCTTAACCTCATACTTCACGTTTGGTTCTCTTCATTTATTTTTGATAGTAGGTTCGCCTGTGTTGTTTTAACTTTTGGTTCAGAGTTATTGTAAAGAATAGCGTAATTTTGCATTCATAACAGAACATGATATATACGCATATTAGAGATTATTTTCTAGTACATATACACTCTATGGTAGTTGGAAGTGGGTATGTTTGCATATATGTTTGTATATCCATAATATGATTCAATATTTTTCTAAATATATCGGATGGTTATATCTGTAGTAGCTAACTAATGTAAATGCATGGAAGAAAAAATATTATAATCAGACGTGTATATATATATATGTGTGTGTGTGTGTGCGTGCGTACGCGCGCGCATGTTGTGTGTGTGTTTGTGTGTGTATGTGTGTGTGTATGTTCCGTGTGTGTTTTGTGCGTGTATATATATAAACACATACACAGATGCATAAATGAATAATAATTATAATATTATATATAAATAATTATAATATCAAACGTTTTTCTTCCATGCATTTCCTTAAGTTAGTGATAGTGATGTCTACCAATACATAGACATGTATACACATATTTTACATAAAATTTAAAATTCAATGTATGATTACATGGAATCATTTTTTTTGAATACCTTCACATCAGGGGCGTCATTCCAGCTTTTCTTGGGGAAAGATGGTGAGAGAAGTGAACACATTTCTGGGTAATTTAGGGAAAAAATGACAGGAGTGAATCCCTTAGGGAGGAAAGGCAAGCCAGACCTTGAGGGGGATAAAGTCTTCGGGGGCGGTTACCCCTCACCCCCCCCCCTCCCCAAATGACGCCCCTGCTTCATGGACTCAACATTTCCCTTGCCTCCGTCTGGCTTAAATCTCTGCAGAATGTTTGCTATGAAGTTTGGCTATCGTTAAAGAAGAAAAACAGGTTTCCATTTAACTCGGTATCAAAATTAAATATAAAATTATATTAGCCGTAAAGTATTCATATAAATCCAAATAAAAAATGTATATACGGCAAATTCATCCTTCGGTTATTGTTAATTTGCTCATTCTGTGTGACAAGCTTGTACTAATTGTTATCAAAAGCATGAGATAAGGATACTTTATGAAAAAGACCCCACCTATTTCGGCACGTGACATACCGAAAAAAGATCGCGTTATCGATTTTGTAATGTTGTCCGGGATATAATGCACCAATTTCTAAATATGTCGAAGGGCTAAGTGATCCCATTAATACAATTGAAATCCCATGATTCAGGTTGCATACTTAGTAATTAAACATTTCCTTTATTTAAAAATGGCATGGTCAGAAATAGAAAACAAAAAACCCAACTCCCAGGAAGTGTCGCCGTCTGACTACTAATCCCATTACGCCTGCATGGCCGTATAAGAACCGGCCTCCAACGCTGCTCGGCATCAGCTTCTCTCCGACAGTCTTCGGGACTTCACACACCTCCGAGTCTACCAACAACCATTTTAATGGTCAACGCTGTTAAGGTCTTCAAAAAGACTTCACCTAATGGTAATACTAATGCCACTCATATCTTTTTGTATATGCAATGGCAAGCAGCTTTGTAAATGTCTATAACAAATGTGACAATGGAACAATGATCCTGTTTCTTTTCCCCCAGGTAAGGTCACCGCGTATCTAAGTCGGCGGGACTTCGTGGACCACGTCAGCCACACCTCCCCCGTGGACGGTGTGGTTGTCGTGGACCATGACTACCTGCGTGGAAGGAGGGTCTTCGCGCGCGTGGCGGTCACCTACCGCTACGGCCGCGAGGAGGATGAGGTCATGGGACTTCACTTCAGCAAGGAGCTCGAGCTCGTCAACACCGAGGTCGCTCCCCATGCTGGAGACGTCCAAATGACCGACGCCCAAGAACGACTCATCAAGAAGCTGGGTGCCAACGCCTACCCCATCAGCGTCAACCTTCCGGAGAACGCCCCCTGTTCGTCTCCTCGACGGCGGGAGTGAGGGTTCTGTACGTATACCTATCATTTTTATGCTCATGTTTTTTTCTGCTTTTACTGAAAATATCGAAAGACATTCTCGTCTGAAATAACATTGGCTGTTAAATCGATAAAATTGTTGTTGGAATCATATGATTATCAAATTTCCTATCCGAAACAGACCCAGCCTCTTGGTGTGATCTACGATCTCAGGCTGTACGTTGCTGACCGCAAGGAGGAACGTCCTCACAAGCGGAACTCCGTCGGCTTTGCTGTCCGAAAGGTCCAGTACGCCTGTCCTGGATCCAGCAACCGTCAGCCACAGACCCTGGTCAGCAAGCTTCACTCTTTCCCCAGGAAGGCTCAACCTCGAGGTCACTCTGCCTCAGGATGTCTACTTCCATGGAGCCCATCGAGGCAACGCTTTCCGTCAACAACGTGTCCAAGAAGACCGTGAAGAACATGAAGGCTGAGGTTGTGCAGCACGTGGAGGTCACCATGACCAACACTCACTTCAGCCGAGTTGTGGCTTCACTCGAGTCTCGCGAAGGATGTCCCATCACCCCAGGATGCAACCTCACCAAGACCTTCTCCCTCAACCCTGTTGCCTCCGTCAACAAGCGACGCTTCGGCATCGCCCTCGACGGTCAAGTCAAGGACCAGGACGCCAACTTGGCATCGTCTACCTTGGTGGCAGAAGGTAAGAACGTCAACGACGCCTTGGGCATCATCGTGTCGTATTCTGTCCGCGTCAAGCTCAACTGCGGCGCCATTGCCGGCGACCTGACTGCCGACCTTCCCTTCAAGCTGGTGCACCCGACCCTGCCTCCGTCAAGGCTCCACTGCGCAAGACTCAGTCTGCCGATATCGAAGTGGAGGAATTCACTAACTTGCGCCGTGGTCAGTCCATTGCTGAGGACTAAGTCAAGCAGGAACTACAGGATGCTCGGGGATCAGCCAATCATTATTATCTAATTGGACTTTCAAGCACCAGTTTAATCGGAAGGGAAATTGCAGTTACCGCGCAATTCTTTTTTAAATGTTAATGTTGTTAATAAATGTTCATACCAATATATTAAAAGCATCATTTTTGAGTATTATATTTTCTTGGACTGTGATAATCCTATTTTCTATTGAAACTGCAATAAAATTCAAATAAATGTGTGATTTATCTCGCACCTTGTGTATTAATAAAAGTTAATATAAGCATATACGCAAATACATGTGTGTATATGTATACGTATGTATATATATGGAAATACATGAATACATATGTAACCATACACATATAGTGTTTGTGTATGTATATATATATATATATATATATATATATATATATATATATATATATATATATATATATATATATATATATATATATATATATATATATATATATATATACACACACATATAAGTGTGTGTCTGTGTGTACTGAATATATGTATATGAATATATAGATAGATGGATATGGATAGATGAATACATATAGATCCATATACGCATCCGTGCCTGTATACATACGTATGTATGCATGTGACGGGTAAATAATCGTGGAAATATATACGAAACATAAATCAATTTCCGCTTTTGTGAAATATTTTTCACACCACCTTGAAACTGCCTGGCAAAAAAATATTAATTCAACATAACGATACAACTCTTTTCCATGATGTGCACAGCATTTTGGCAGACACTTTGACTTTTTTGCGCAGGAAAATACAAAACACAGAATCCTTCAATACCTTTTATATATGTTTCTCACGATCTCCCTTTTCAACATATTAGTATTAGACGAGTGCGTACACTACGAAGTAAGAGTGTTCTTTCATTACGTTTGCATTTTCACTCATTCTTGATACAATGAATGTAACAATGTGAACATCACTGTTATGCATTGTATCTCCTAATGAAGTTAGTGCTTGAATAACTTTGTATTATTATTCATTACACAGTCCTGCAAGCATGTTAGGTACGTTCTTTGTCCTACAATTACGTTCATTCACCTTCTTACCCAAGTATACGTTTTCTTAAATGCGTGGTTTATGAAGCTGGAAATAATGTTTTGTTTTGAAACAGATACACGATTAAATAAAT